GCTTAGCTTACAGGCTCTTGCCTGCAGAAAGTCACTGCTACTGACTTTCCAGATTTTGAAGAGGCTATCAATACCTGAGATGGAGTTGCAAAAAGCCTTACCCATTCTTGTATCAAAATTTCCTGAAGAAGCAATAAACTAGCCTTACCTATCCGCTATACTAGTGTCTGGGACTAACACAGCCCAGAGGACTAAGACCAAGTCCTACGCCCTCTCCCAGTGGCCCACTGCAGCCCTACTGCAACCAAGTGCCCTCTTGTGCCGTTCTTTTCTAACCACTGTGAGAGGACTAGGTGCCAAGTGGAGGGTACGGCCACCAGCTGGTTCCTTTGTGCCCAAGTGTTCAGGAACTGTTTTTGTTTCTTTCTGCTGTCTCTCCGGAAGCTTGTTTTCCTCCTCCAATCGGCTCGAATGGCTTGCTTCAGGCCATGCTTGATCTTGCATTTTATCTCAATATCCGACATGGGTCTGTTTTCCAACCGCGCCCTGTTACAGTCTGCTCATATCACGTCAGAGACTGTGCTTCTCATCATTTGAGCAATGTACTTCCATCCTGCTTTGGCTGTGGTCCCTACCGGAAGGAATCCTAGCAGCACCCAACGTTCCTCCCAGTCCACACTCGTCCCTCCCATCTTGTTCCACTGGTATTCCCACCGCTTCCAGACCCTCTTAAAGGCTGGACATTCCCACCAGAGATNCGTCCCTCCCATCTTGTTCCACTGGTATTCCCACCGCTTCCAGACCCTCTTAAAGGCTGGACATTCCCACCAGAGATAGCGTGTGGATTCGAAGGGCCAGTTGCACCTTCTGCAGCGGAGCTCCACCTCCATTCCTCTGCAGACGGAGTCACTAGAAGAGACAACATCCATAGGATACTTCCCTGCTTCCCATTGGGGAGTTCAGCGAGAGTTTCCCAGAGCTTGTTGAATTGGTCTTCTGTGTTTTGTATTTCATCCCCTAGCAGCGCTTGCCATCTGCCTGCAGACTGCTGGTGACTTTTTGTTGGACTTTGCCACTGTGTAGCCTTCTCTCACAGTATACGAGGCTTACTTCCACCGGCTCCACTGCATCACTTTTCCATCTCCAGGCGAGCGGATCAATATGTAATTCTCTCAGGGGGACTCTGCCTACCCAGGACAATACTTGCGTTTTCCTTGTTCATTCTGGTGATTCCACTGCTCGAATCTCACTAGGGTTGCTCCACAACATTACCGTCTCTTCTCCCAACTTCCAACGTGTTTGTATGTTTTGCTGCCTTCCATCTTTCTACCCTCCTTAATCTGCCTGGCTGAATCTCCAGCATCTTCCAGACCACCTCGGGTCTTCTTCTTCTGCCACATACCATGTACCAGAAAGTTCAATGCCCTCCGGTCCCAACAGGTCCAGCCATTCTTGGGGAATGGCTTGGATCGCCGCTTGCCAGTTGTCTTCCATCTGTCTTCCACCCATTGAAGACCTGCTAATTTTCTGTTAATGCTTGCCAGCGGTTCCCAACCTCCTAGTAATGTAGACAACAAGTCTCTGATCCCTACTATTCCCCTACGTACCCAGGCCAGTCCGAATGTGGCTGTGGATCCATGTGCTGCAATGACTTTGCCGTGTTACGATCCCGGTCATTTCCAAAGTGCAAATTCACAATGAGAGACAATGCCACCAAATTGCGAAGGAAATGAAAGCACTTGCAAAGAGATAAAGACCGGAGGAGAGAGAAAGAAGAAGAAGAAGAAGAAGAAGAAGAAGAAGAAGAAGAAGAAGAAGAAGAAGAAGAAGAAGAAGTACACCAGCAAGACCAACGACAATTTCCCCCTTCTCTCTCCACCTTCCTCCTCCTCCTTCAATCCGCCAATCTTATTCTTCTCTCAATAATAATAATAACAATGAATGGATGTACCAGAATCAATATCCAAAGTTCCCCCTTACTGCTGACTCAACTCACAACAACAACAACAACAACAACAACAACAACAACAACAACAACAACAAGAAAGTCCACCATGGCCATGGCTTCCCTCCTTCAACCTCCTCTCTCATGCATAGGCCACGGCGGACTACTGGGAGGCAGCTATGATGCTGTGCTGATGTCCCAAGACAACCCAAAGCAGCTATGCCGCTGCTTGACTTGGTCTGCTATGCCTGACTCTGCCTTGAGCTGCTCTGGTGCAGCGCTACCCCAACTGGGGCCTTCCAGATGCAGCGCCCAACAAGGTGATGAAGATGGTGTCCACCATAGCCAGGTAAGCTGTCTCTTATACACATCTAGATGTGTATAAGAGACAGCTCCAGCAGCATGTCGCCAATCCTTGCATACCACAAATGAGGAAGAGCTCTCCGCTCTTCCTGAAGATATAGTGGCCTACCGGCCTCCTGGGCGGTGACTTCCTAGGCCAAGCGGCCTCCCAGCAACCAGTACCTCCTCCCTTTTGGAGGGAAACATCATTGCAGGCTCTGTTATTGTCCGCACAGGCCCTAGACCCGGGCTACTTGGACTGGTACCGGCCTACCTCTAACCTACCGCCACTGGGCCTCTAAAAATGCCAACTTTTTGTCTTCTTCTGCTCGGTCTACCTGCTACTTGAGTGTTTTTCCCCAGCTGCTCTAAGTGCCGTTGGCCTACTCCCCGCTACCGGCGTGTTTACCCCCCTGCAACCCTTCAAAGTCACGGCCACAGGTAAGTACCGGCCCGGTGGGCCTTGCAACCAACAAGTACCCTTGCGGGTCACACACACATACCCGACCAGCAAGCACCCAGACAGGCATGCAAACCAGCAGGCACGCACACACACACAACCGGCAAGCACTCAGACAGGCATGCAAACCAGCAGGCACGCATACACACAGACTTGGGACCACAGCAGAATGCAGGAATCTCAGCAAGGCATTCATTCCATTGGCAAATCCCAGAAATCAGCAGTGTTCCCAGTCTGTGTTTTTGGCGGGTCATTACAGCCGTCGTGTTTGGTGATATGTGGATTAGCAATCAGGATTTGGGCATGTATTTCTTTCTTTGTCCGTGGCTACTGCTGAGGCTCCAGAGGGTGTTTTCTCCTGGCCTTGTGTACTGAAGGGGTGTTGTCCTTTTGCGAGTTGCCTTTTGAGAGTTGTCGTTTTGTTCGTTTTTCAGTCTTTTAGTCTTTCATTTTTTGAGTCTTTTAAGGTGACTCGTGCGTAGGGTGGAGTGTGTCGCGGTATATTAGGAACTTTGTCTACGAGTGAATCCTCTTTTACAACAGTTGGGGAGAGCAGCATGGGCAGTCACACAACGGTCCACGCCTGCTAGTCGAAGTTAAGGGATTGTGGTTCAATGGCTGAGTATTCAGGAGATGCATGAGGGGTCGATGCTTAGCAAAGGGCTGACACGTTGAGATTCGCCACCATTGCGAACTACTGTGCCGAAGCATTCTAATAAACTCTGTTGTTTCTCCGTTTTCGGCTACGATAATTATGTGCTATGCATGTTTGATATCGTGAGTATTTGTCAATTGTATCTTGTGTACCGAGTTCCAAAAATTGGGTTTGAGTCTTCTCTTGTTAAAAGAGTCCATGGAGGAGCCTGCCCATACGTCCTCTGTGCGGCTTAGCTTCCATCCTTCCAGCAAAAGGCGAGTGCTTGTTGAACCCAATGCTCCTTCGAATCAGACACCACTACCTTACACAGCCAGGTCCTCAGTTGAGCTTGGTTCCTGCCTGCTGGATCCGTCAGTCCTAGTCCCCCTTGTTCTCTTTAGAAAGTGAGGGTGTCCCAAGCCACTTTTACAATGAAATCCTCCATCTGTTTCGCCGTACGTTTCCACAGGAATCTGGCAATCAGCCTTCTGATTGCTGGCAGTACTCCTCAGGCCAGCTCCCTCACCTGACTCACAAAGCAGAGAATTGATAATAGGGCCATATTAGCGACTAACGCTCTTGCCAATGATGGACAGATGCCAAGTTCTACCCCACAGACTCAGCCTTGCTGCAATTCTGTGCTGCAGCAGCAAGCCTTGCTCTGATGCTTGAAGTTGTAAACTATTTAGCACGCCCAAAAACCTTTTTTCTTCTCATTCCTCCACTCTCCTTATACGTCATCCACCTTTAGTCCGAACTTCTTTGGAAGTAGGAATGATGATTTGTTCTAGTTCGTGGAGGCTTCCGAGAGTGTTGCATATTCCACCATTGTCTCCTTCAGTGCTGACAGCGCTTGTACCGAGTTTTCACAGACGGCGAACAGGTCGTCTGCGAGTGCTTTCTCTGTGCATTCGGAGTTGTTTCTCAGACTCAGCTCTCTAATGCCTGGGTGCCTTCGGATCCCATTGAGAAGGACCTCCATCTTACGTACACAGTGGGGCCAAGGGGCAGCTTTGCAGAAAAAATCTGGTCAACATGATTGGTGTGGAGAGAGGTCCATTGACCGCAACTGACGACATGGAGTAGGTGTACATTGCGATAACCCAACTGCAGAAGCCTGTTCCAAGACCAATAGGTCTTAAGGTTGTCAGGGCAAAGGTCCACCCGAACTTGTCATTGGGTCAAGGAGAAGCACCGCCACATCCAAATTTTCTGATTCTACTAAGCACTTCAATGGTCGTGACAATGTTTTTGAAGATGGACCTTCCTTGGATGAACACACCTTGGTCTTCTCTCACTGGACTCGGTAGGTAGTGGGCGAGTCTTCGTGCAAGCGTCTTAGCCGGAATTTTAAATGATATCATTCAACATTGAAATAGGCGTCCAGTTCCTGACGTCTGTCTTGTTGCCGTTCTTGAACAGCACCGTAATGGCCCTCGTGTGCAGGCGCAGCATGCAACATCCCCCCCTCCTTATGAAGTCAAGCCGGGGCGAGGGCGAAGCTGGCGATCTGAAGGTGGAACCTGGACGCGGGCGCGGCATGGAGCCGAAGAGACCGGCTTGCCTTGCATCTTGTGTTCGTATCGTGCGAGAACGTCCGGAGCTGTTGCTTGAAGTTTCGCACGGGTCAACCAACGGTCAGCTCGGTGTGTGCAGTATGCAAAATGCACCAAATACTCGGTTGGCCTGTTGCCGTAGCGTCGCTGGGAGATGATGTCGCCGACCTCCTGAAAACCGTCCATAGAGGGTGGGTCTTGCGAATGTCTCCCGGGAAAATCGTCATGTTCCGCTGGCGTGTAAATCTTCACCGGGTGCTACGATCGGCCAAGGCCCCATCCATTTCGGGAGGAGCTTGCGAGAGATATCTTGTTCAAGGCTGAATTCCACGGCGGAGACCCAAACGAGATCGCCGACGCGGAATGGGCAAGGAAGACGATGGCGATTGGCCTGTTGGCTCATGCGTTGCTGCGTCTTGGCCATCTGGTCGCGTGCCTTGACAAGTAGCTCTTGCATCCGACACAAGAAAAGAAGATGGTCGTCGCTCTCGGCCGTTCGTGGAGTGATGGTGTCCAACAGCGAAGTGACCGGCGAGCTGTGCTCGAACTCGAAGGGCGATATCCCGATAGCCGGGTGGATGGAGGAGTTGTAGGCCAACTCGACATCCGGCAACCGCTCAACCCAATCCTTCTGGTCAGGACGGATGAGAGTGGGAAGGAGAACTTGTGCGGTGTGGTGTGCCCTCTCCGTTTGGCCATCGGTCTGAGGGTGGCGAGCTGAACTGGGCTTGCGAGATGAGCCCCATCGTTTGATGAGCGCCAACCAAAAATCGGACATGAACCGAGTGTCACGGTCGCAGACGATTTCCTTGGGGTAACCCTTGGTTCGAATCCAACCGCCGTAGAGAACCTTGGCCAACTCCGGTGCCTTGGCATGATAGTGACAAGGCAAAAACATGGCGAACTTGGTGAGTCGGTCGACCACCGTGAGAATCCCATCCACTCCGGTTTTGTGTTTGAGGAACGGGCCGGTAATGCCCATGGCAATCGCTTCCCTTCGCCTCAACGGGACCGGTAATGGTCGTAACTCGCCGTACGGACGATGATTGTGGGATTTGCAGCGTCGACAAACCTCGCATGACTCGCAATAGCGTGTGACATCGCCGAGAAGGTCGGACCACCAGAATCGCTCGCGAAGTCGGCCAATCGTGCGATTGACTCCAAAGTGTCCGGTGGCGGGAGCATCGTGGAACTTGCCAAGAAGCCGTGTACGCAAGTGAGGATCACTCGGTACGCAAAGAAGGTCCTTCCCCCGCGTGTGGACAAGCAAGTACCCCTCTTGGATCCGGTAGTGAGAAGGCGCCGGATTAGGAGAGGAGCAATTCGCGTACTTGTCGCGAAACTCGGTGTCGGCTTGGTAGCCGCGGATGAAGCTGTTCCGCAGGTCGTCGTCAATCTCGAAGGTTGAGTAGACCGCGGTACAATGATCCGGACGCCGTGAAAGAGCATCCGCAAAACGGTTCGACTTCCCCGCAATGTGATCGGGAAAGAAGTTGAACTGGTCGATGAAAGTCATCCATCGAGCGATGGTGCTGTTGACGGTGTCTTGGGTCTTGTAAAAGACCAACGGATTGTTGTTCGTTACCCATCGGAATTGACTTCGACCAAGGAGGAAGTGTCGCCACCGCTTGAGCGCGTGGACAAAGGCGAGGAGCTCCTTGCGTGCATCGTCAATGGAATGCACGACGGGCACTTTCTTGCTGAAATACTCGACCGGGTGTCAGTCCACACCATCATGTTGCTCGAGGACGACACCAATGCCATAGCCGGACGCATCCGTCGTGACGCGCGTAGGCAAAAGCGGGTCATATGTGCGCAAGACCTCCGCAGATAATAGCGCGGCTTTGAGAGCCAAAAATGATTCCCGCGCCTCCTCTCCGAAGTCAAACGGCCGATCCTCACATTGAAGCTCGGTCAAGTTGGCCGCGATCTTCGAGTAGCCTTTGATGAAACGCTGATAGTAGCCGGCGAGGCCAAGGAACGAACGGACATCCGTGACGTTCCGAGGCTCCGACCACTCTTGGATGGCTTGGATCTTGTCCGATAGCGGACTGATGCCCTCCGGTGTGACAAAATGGCCCAAGTAWTYCAGCTCTTGCCGGACAAATTCGCACTTGTCGCGGTTGGCCTTGTACTTGGCGCGGCGGAGCGTCTCCAACACTCGTCGAAGATGCCCAAGATGACCCTCCAATGTCCGACTATAGACGAGAATATCGTCTAAGTAGACCAGCACGAACCGGTCCAACATTGCACGAAACTCGTTGGTTATTGCCGCTTGAAAGGTCGTCGGGGCGTTGGTGAGGCCAAAAGGCATGACTACCCACTCAAAATGCCCGTACCGCGTGTTGAACGCGGATTTGTAGCGATCATTCGGCCGGATCGAGATTTGATGATATCCTGATTTCAAATCCAACTTAGAAAAATACTTTGCGCCGGCCAATCGCTTAAGAAGATCGTCGATGCGAGGAAGAGGCCCCACATTCTTGACGGTTTGCACGTTGAGCTTGCGGTAGTCGATACACAATCGTAGATCCTTGTTCTTCTTCCGGACGAAGAGAACCGGTGCTCCATATGGGGAGCTGCTAGGGCGGATCAGCGCTTGGCCAACAAGTCGTCAAGTTGTGCGCGGAGGACCTCAAGCTCCTCCTCACTCATCCGATAGATGCAACCTTTCGGCGGCACGACACCGGCCTCAAGAATGGTCTCGTGAGAGATCGGCTGATCCGGCACCACACCGGTAGGTGACTCGAAGATGTCGACGAACTCGTCCAGCAACCGCACCACCCGAGGGTCCGAAGACAAGTCCGTGGGTGAAGAGTCGGCTACCGCGACGGTCCGTAGGAAACATAGGCCGATCTCCTCGGGCTGCCCGTAAGTGCAAGTCGCCCGGAATGATTTGGTCGTCACCACTTGGCACCGAATTGAAGGGTGCGGTAGAGGAATAGTACACACCACTTCGGCGCCGAAGGCATCGCGAACGCTAAGAGTCCGTCGGTGGAAGTTGACCGTGTGATCCGCACTTGCAAGCCAAGGCATTCCCAAAATGATGTTGAAGTCCGTGTCCGAAATGTCGAACGTCACCGGTTCGCATGCATGAGGTGCGAAATACACTGGTACGGCCTCAGTGTAACGGTCGAGAAGTTGTTGCGTCGTTCCATCCGCCAACTTGATCGTTGTCGGGTTTGCCTTTCTCCGAACTTGTGCGCCAAGGCCAACCCTTTGCATAAAGGCTTGTCTCATGAAATTGCGAGACGCGCCGCTATCCAGCAAAGCGTTGCAGGACGCTTGCCCAACCTAAATGCGGACATACATGAGCGGTGCGTTGTTGTCATCGTACCGCTGCGTGCGAAACTCGCGGGCCACCTTGGTAACATATGCAAGGATGTCCCCCACCGCGACTTCGTCATCCGTCGACGAAGTTGGTGGTGCATAGAAGGATAAGTACGTGTGGAGATGAGCGCATAGCGCTGCGCATTGCAGTCCTGGCAGGCGGCCCGTGGTCGGGAGAGAAAGCCATGCGAAGTCCTCGGACATGAGCGGGTCCAATACCTCTATGTTGAACTCGCGCGCCGAATCCCGTGAAGAACCACTTGAAGACGATAAGTCGCCGCTGCCGGACGGAGACGATGTCGCACACACGTCTTGTCCTTGAGCTTGAGTACCCAGCGTAGGAATGAGCCGGGCAGCATAGTCCTCAAAAAAATATAGAAGAGGAGGATTATCGACTTCCGCTTGTGCCTTGGAACGAAGGGCGGTCACCCGCGAAGCGACCGGTTCCGAAGGCGTCGAGAGTGTCGTCGAGTCACTCCCGGCGGTGCTCAGTTTCCCGATTTGTCCTTACCTTTCAACGGGCAGGCCAGTGTCTCATGGAGATCGTTGTTGCACCATAGGCAGTTGTGGAATCTCGCGCGCGCTTTGAATGCTTGCTCGGAGATGCCGTACTGGGACCATGGGGCTGGAGGTGCTGCACCGGGCCCGGGGCTAGATGCGGTGTTTGTCTTCGTCTTGCCGCGTCCTCGGCCTTTGCCGGGGCGGCCACCTTCCCGAGCGGCTGCGAGTCTGTCCTCTTCATTGGTAGACACGGCCTCGCTAGTTTGGTCAAACGGTGTTGCTGCCACGACCACGACCACTCTTGGCCAATGTTGTTCTCTGCTCGGGCCTGGCGCAGACGAAAGCAGGTTCTTAGCCTCCTTGTTCGTGATGATAATTTGCGCGGCCTTGTCAAAGAGTTTCGCCGTTGACATCAAGGTGTCCTCGACGTGAGTCAGGGCATTGCTTAATGCCGAACACGACCTTGAGATGAAATAGTGGCGGATGGCCTTGAAGCCCATCTGGATGTCTGGGACTGATGTCAAGCATTGGTACTCGGCAATCCAGTCGACACTCAGCAGCGTGCCTTGTTCGAAGACCATTAGCTTGTCCATTGCCTTATCTCCGGCGGCTCGACTTGGAACCGCTTGTGCCACGCCGCCTTCAGATCATCCCAACTGATCTTGGTGTGCAAGTCGCCAGCTACTACTCCGTACTTGGACAAGAGATTGTCCAACCATGCCTGGCACGCGCCCCCCGACCGGGAGTGTAAGTACACGTGGTGCTTGTGTTCTTTGACGTAGTGTAGCTGCAGCGTGAGCTCGAACTTGCGGAACCATGAAATTGGATCTGTTTTCGTCGAGTCGCAGAAGATCTCCTGCCCGTCGAACTTTGAAGTTGTCTCGCGCGGTTCCGAACTCGAGTGGTTGGCGGCAGTGCAGATCCGTTGTTCCAACTGTTGCGTTGTGGTCTGCTGTAACTGCACGCCGTCCTTGAGGGAGCCGATGTCCATCTCCAATGCTTCGAGGCGATCAGAGGTGTTGGAAGAGCTGGCATCGGGGGCAGCGACAGGTCCCTCCTCCAGCTGCCGGAGGCGGCCGTGGACTTGAGTCAACGCATCGTCGAGGCTATGGATGTCCTCCTACTATGTAATGCATGTCGCCAGGAGGTCTGTGAGATGGGAGAGGAGTAGAGCGATCTTATTTTCGCTATCCTCCATCTTGCCATTGTCAGCCTCGGTCTGCCATTCCGCTGCCATTGTGAGCAAAGTTTGCTCTCCGCTAAATATCTTCTCCCGCCGTTGAACTCGTTCTTCATCATCAGCCTTTGCTGCTGCCTCGTTGTGCTGGCGCTACTGTTCAAGTGCCAGCAGACGTGCCTGCTCGGCGTCCTCTGCCTTCTTCTTCGCTGTTGTTGCTGCGTCATCCGCCCGTCTCTTTGTTTCGGTACTCCAGGCCAGCATCCGGGCCTGATAGGCCTCGTCTGTTTCGCCGGACCTCTGGTCCATGACGGCTGTTTGTGAATGCAACAGCATAGACCAGGTCGGGGGCTGCTTGGTATTCCCTGCTGCTGACGTGGCCTGCTGATGTGTCCTGTTGACGTGGCCTGCTGACGTAGTCTGCTGACGTGGCCTGCTGACGTGGCCTACTAACGTAGCCTGCTCACGTGGCAACTTACCAATGCCGCCGCAGGGGGTACCCAGAGATAGATAGAGAAGGTAAGGCCAGAGGGGGCAACAACATAGGTGGGGAGGGCGGGTGGGAAGAATCGCCCAGATAAGGAGCCACTAATCAAAAAAGAAAAGTTTGAACTTTGCAAACAAAAAATTGAAATAATAAAAATCCCAAGTTTTGCAAGTTCAGTAGGTCTCCCAACCTCCCTTGAAGTGCGAAATGATCAATGAAAAAAAATTCGACTTCAGACTGCAAATGATTATAGAACTGTGACTAACAGAATCCTAGAACTGCGAAAAAAAAAATTCCGAAAAGAAACTCAAATGAGAGTATTCGCAGTTTGGATAATAATACCCGCAGGAGGGATTTCCCGTACCGTTTTCAAAAAAACGAATTTCGGGAAAAAAAAATATTTCGAATTTCCAAATAACCGGAAATGCAACAGGAAATCGAAATTTTTGAAAAGAAAGATATTCCGGATTTTCAACAATGAAATTTTGAATTTTCAGAAGAAAAACGAAAACGGAACTTTTAGATGCTGGCGCTATTGCGATTTTCCACAGCAGAAATAGCGATAAAACAAAATCCAAGAAAAGAAAAAAGAAATCGATTTTCGGCAGTAAGGTCAAAGTCGTGATTTTGGGGGGCTCACTAGTGTGCTCTAATCAATCTATCAAGACTAATCAGCTACCTAGTCCCCACACGTAATAACCGAGGATCCGCAATGTGATAAAAAGGACCGAATGGACAATGCAGTGGAAGTAGAATCTCAACAAGCAATGTGCATTCTGATACATACAAAATGGTGCTGAATAGCGCAGGGAAGACTTAGATACAAATCCTGACCTGACCGGGACTAACCTCATGCACGTAGTACAAGATAGCGAAGCAGAATGCTAGAATGCTAATGACTAGCCCAATCAATGTTTCTACGCAGACCAAACATACATCATACTCATCACAAGGTGTGAAGGAGCCTGGCGTTGTACACAGGAAGGAAGCGCCAGGTCCAGACATACACAGACAAAGAGGAGGGGATCAGACGAAGAAGAGGGGCAGAGATGGGAATGTCGTCAACACCAAGTCTTTGTCACAAGTCACAAATAATCCCTCGTCGCAATGTCTGAAGCCCAAAAGTCGAGTCTGGATCCAATGTCACCAAGCTCTCTCTCTCTCTCGTTCTCTCGTAGTCTGCTGATGCAGTGACGTCAGATAATGAGAGGGTGAGAGGGAGATGGTGGACTGAGAAGAGGAAGAAGAAGAACTCTCTCTCTGTCACAAGCCAGATACTAACCTGTGAAGCTGGCGCTATGCTGCAGGTACCTCGAAGACGAAGCTGGAGCAACGGCGCTGCAGGTAGGTACTCCTGACCTCCGCCCAATCTCTCTCTCTCTAGTACTATCCTAGCTATGGCGCCCAGCGCTGAAGACTACAGCTACCTACTGGCGCCCAGCGCTGAAGACTACAGCTACCTACTGGCGCCCAGCACTGAAGACTAATGCTAACGCTACTACTACTCCTGCAGCGCTCCCTCCAGAGTGCTGCTGCCGAATCTTGAAGACTACTGACTGCCTCATGCGTACTCGTGAAGTGCATGGGAAGTCCCTATGTAMTWCCTCGGCCTGCCTCCTGACTGCCTCCGACTACCTGCAGTTGCAGGGCGGGCAGTCCAGGAGGCTGCTCTTGCCAATGCCCAACCGAGCCAGGGGCTGGCGCTGCAGCTGTCATGGGAACAGGCCAAAAATAGCCTGTTCCTTAAACCCTGGTTCGGTGCCTGAGTTTCAGGGCAGGCCGGTCTGATGACAGACTGGAAAATGGCCCTTCTTTTCAGGCTAAAAAGGCTGCTGCCATTTTCAGTCTGAAACGACACAGGGTCTGTAGGCCCCTGGATTTCAGGCTTTCGAGCTGAATCGTCACGAGGCCTGTAGGCCCTGGTTTTCAGGCTTTCGGCCTGAGGGACGCAGGGCCTGGAAAATGGCCCTCGTGTGCAGGTGCAGCATGTAACATGAAGCCAAGAGCGACTGTGCCTATCACTCACAGCGCCCTCTACAGAGGTCCTCAACAACGAAACAGGTCTAGGGGTTGTACATATCTATTACACTCCCCTTAGAAGGTCGAGTTTGAACTCTCCTTTTGATCCTTGAGAACTGAAAGTAACGTGCACAAAAACGAACAACAAGATCTTCCCTGCAGGTCCGAGCTCGACACTGGTTTTGACTTTTGAGAGAGGCCCATCAAATCACAAATTTACAAGGAGTTTGTATCGATTTAGTCAAGTGAAGAAAGAACCAAACAAAAAACACAGAGAATTTTCACTAAGTAGTATTAGCACCAGCGAGCTCGTTCTTGGCAATGCATACAAACAAATTGACAGTCGTTGACGAAGAGAGAATATCAGCATCAGACAACAATGGTTTCTACAGCATCATCGGTCCCCCAGACCAGACAAAATGCGTGTCAGCAAGCTACCACTATCTTCGTTGAGAGTGACCACAGTTAACTGCATGTGTTCTCAAGTGCCCTTCACTTGCCCACTGAACTCGTTGGCGGAACCCGTCAAACTGTCTTTCCTGCTTGCTTCCCCCAACCAGCCGGTAGTAATGAGAGTGCCCGCTAGTAGCTTGACCAATGGCTGTTCTGACATAAACTAACTACGGTGAATCGAACACGGGGGTTACACTTAGACTTTGCTAGACACTCTATACTTAGACTGTGTTAGATTCAAGCGGTAGTAAAAGCAATTACCATAGAAGTCGGCACCTAAGTTCCCTGAGTAGAACAAAAAGAGAGCAAGAAGTGTAACTGCTGTTGATGAAGATATCGTCTCGGGCCCTGTTGAGTGACTTACTGATGATTGTGCTTCATCTGGCGGATCAAGACTTTACTGTAACTCGATGGAAATTTTCCCTTTGACTCTCCACTATCACTCCTCCGGTTGCATTAACGGCCCCTCCCACTTCTGGCGCTTGCGTTTTGTAGACAAGCACAAAGTAACTTTCCACTTGTCAGTCTCCACAGCCGCCCCCTCTCAATGGCCAGTCTGTGAACATTCTGCTCGCTCTGTTTGATAAGCTCGCTCCTCCTTGCTTGTCCGTATCACCTCTTCTCGAGCGCCTGATTTCGAGCACTCAACTCGCGTTGTTCAACGAGCACGGTTCTTCTTGTATGTCCGTGCCACCTCCTCTTGAGTGGCTGATCGTGAGCACTCAACTCGCGCTTTAACGACCTCGCGTGTCCGTGGTTGTCCGTGCCACCTCCTCTTGAGTGGCTGATCCTGAGCACTCAGCTCGTGCTGTAACGACCTCGCTTCCCCTTGTTTGTCCATGCCACCTC